TCCCCAGTCTGCTACGTATATGATGGGTTATTGTACATGCGACCTGTCTCTTGGTCAGCTCCTGAGATCGCGAAGAATACCTGAAACAATGATCTACTGAGAGGATCAGGGCATGTAGAAGTAGGGCTACAAATACTTGGTAATTTGACTAATAGACTACATCTACTTGATCTTATAACTTTGGTTGAATTACTTGTCACCCTACTTACAAACCCTAAACCCAATCAATAACTGATGCTTACGAAGTCCCTGACCCGCTACGTATAATAGCCTCAAGACTCTTCATTCTTCCAAAAACCCCTTCCACCTTGAATAGTAACCGTACTAACTTTTCGGGTGTATACTTTGAATGAAGGGAAGCGATTCCTAAGAAACACACAGAGACCTCCCTGCCCTTTCGGACCGCCAGCTAAAAACGCAGTTCAGAACCCTAAACCCTCAGTTGAGGGTTAAGCCTCTGGAAAGAGCCTTGCTGCAAATTGCCCAAACCTGTGCTTGAAGACTACCATAATAATACTATAACAATAATACTATAATAATAATACTATAATAATAATACTACAATAATACTACGATAATAGTACTACTACTATAATAATACTTGCTCAAGAAAAGAACCTTGCAGCCCTTGTCCTCTCTTCAGCCTACAAACCATATTCCAAATCGCTAACGATCCGGGCTCCTTGATTTTACATCTAAATCGCGTACGATTTTAAGCGGCGATGTTCCCATCTAAGCCGTCAACCCTAAACCCAAACCTGAAGGACCAAATGACCCTTAGAAGTAGGGGCCCTATACCCATATTCTATGAATCCTTATACCCCAGGTATGGTATATGAGCCTTAAACCGTTTTAGGGTTCATTTCGTCCTCAAGGAACTCCTAATTCGAACCTTCTCCAAACCCTAAACCCTAAACCCTAACCTTGTCCCAAGGCCTGGTTTAGGGTTTTCGGGGGGATGTTTAGGCTTCAGGGCTTCTTTTTGTCCAGGGAAGCGAAGACACCCTACCTATAGTCTCCATTGTAGTTCCTTTTTTTGGTGTAACCAATTATAGTTTAAGGATCCTATCAGGTAACCAAAGAAAGGAACTACAATGGAGACTATAGGTAGATGCTTTAGGATTTGTAGAGTCTGACCCAGGAAGCAAAAGCAAAATGCTGCAAGACCGACAAACCAAACTGCCTAAACCACCTGAGTGTTTAGGGTTTCGGGTTTCAGTACTCGATACAGACCTTGACCCCTACTTTCTCAACTGGGGCTGTCATAGTATTTGTCTCATGCCATTTAGGGTTTAGGGTTTAGGGGTTAGGGGTTTAGGGTTTAGGGTTCGATGGTGGGCGGCGCCTATGCCCTTCGACATCGATGGCGCAGGTCTATCCAGGACGCTCGCCCGCCGTTCCACAGACAGGGGTACTGTAGCACCCCCTTAGGCCCGGTACCGGGACACGTTCTCCCCGGGACCAGTACTGGTCCCTGGCCCCGGGACATTGTCCCGGGTTGAGCCCTGCCCTGCTTTGCCCCGCCTGAGGTTGAAGAAATAAAGAAAACCGTAGACTGAGTTTAGGTGCTAAACCCTAAAAGGAATAGGTTTGGGTGGTTTAGCCGCCTTGGACGGCGTGGGGTGGGAGAGTGAATATAAAGAGCCAACCACAATCAGGCTCAAACGTTGAATCGCCTGAGGACGATGCACTCGAAATTACACTGTCGCAAGCTACTTCCGCTTATGCGCCATTCTACGGCAAACCCTAAACCCTAAACCCTCACTGCTGCAGCTCTGACATGGATTCCTGAACCCTAAACCTGCAACTGGTGCAACGCCATGTGTCGTGAGATGCAAGACTCCTGGTTTAGGGTTTAGGGTTTAGGGTTTAAGGTTTAGGGTTTAGGGTTTAAGGTTTAGGGTTTAGGGTTTAGGGACTAAACAGATTAGGCAAGGGGTTCTGCAGTGGGCAGTGGATCCTCCGAAATTGGGTTCTGGGTTCAGGGTTTTTTGCAGGTTTCAAGGGTTTTCAGAAAACCAGGATACCTTATTGGGGGGGCGGGGGCGGGAGGGGGGGGGGTCCTTGCAACAGGATCCCACTATGTAGGGTTCCATACCAGGGTCCCCGATCTTAATCTAAACCCTACACCTCATGAACCTTACAAACCTTAAACCCAAAACCGAGAATCATAAACTCCAAACCCCATGCAAACCCCAAACTTCAAACTCTAGACCGTTCCAGTTAGACTTGGGAGAGTTGGAGTCCTGGAGGGTCGCTATTGAAGGCAAGCCGGTTATCTATTCAGCAAATAATTTGTGACATCTATTCCACCCACCCCACCCCCCGCCCCGCCCATCGCCTCAAACATGAAATCGCACTAAAACTACAAGCAAAGCACATCCCGATGGCCTCTTGAACTCACAACCAACTTGCGCAGGCCCTCAAAACAGTGCACCGAAATGCAAACTGACCCCAAAACTGTGAATCCTGACGAACCCACAGCCCGCAACGGCTGCCA